ATTCTACTTCCAATGTTCCCTTACTGTGAACCCTAAGTGTTCGTCACTGAAAATGCTTTGAAGGTACAAAAGCTTTAGTGATCTTACTATCTAATCAAATGAACACAAAGTGAAGCATAAGAACAGATTGCAAAGTCTCCTAGAACTTGGATGATCCTATGTCCTGGCTGGATGGACAGACAACCTTGGCTTATACCCATCCTCCTGGCATCTCAAAAATATCCCAACTTGAACAACCTACTCATGGCCACTGTGTAACTCACAGAAATAGGGAACTATTGGAAAAAAAAAAAGTAGAATTATAGTTTAAATGTTATTCATATATAAAAGTTAATATTTAGAGATTGACAATTAACTAAGTAAAATCAGGAGGTAAGAGAAAATGCAAGGCCATGTAACTATTCATTTTTAGCAGAATCATTAGATACTGTCTAAAATTAATAAGAAGTAGAAGTATTCCAAAATTATTTAGAATTAGAGTGGTAACCATCAGAGGAATTAAACAGGAAGTTAAAAACCATTACTTCTGGGGAGTACGATTTAGGAGAGGGGAGACTCAGGGAATACTTTACTTTTTAACTGGAACTTTTCCATAGTCCTTGCATTTAGTACTACATATAAATGTAGTAGCTACTACATTTATAATAAACACATATTTAGGTAAAACATAGAAGAACGTGACATGAACTCCCTTTCACTTTGTTGCCTTTGCTCTCGAAAACTAAAGAGTAAAAGAAAAAAATCAACATGTTAGGAGCATTCACACATTCTCTCTACCAATATTCACCAAGTGCCTCCTGGGTGGCACACACCGAGTGAGGTGCGGGGTGACAGCAATGATATTAAGACAGACATTCACCAGGAGCTTACATTCTGGAGCCACATACCACCATGGGTCCTACCTACCTAGTCTAAGATTTTTTTTTTTTTTTTTTTGACAGAGAGAGCACAAGCAGAGGGAGAGAGAGGGAGAAGCAGGTTCCCTGCTGAGCAAGGAGCCCGATGTGGGACTTGATCCCAGGACCCTGGGATCATGACCTGGCCTGAAGGCAGCCACTTAACCGACTGAGACACCCAGGCGTCCCTCTCCCTACCTCTTCTAAACAAGTGCACCTCATGGGGCTCACAAGAATGAGAACAGATGGTGAACACTGCAAATGCAAACAGAAAAAGGCGAATCTAGAAAGATTTTATCATTTGATACACAAGCTATAACTTGGCAGTAAAACTAGAAAACCAAAAAAAAAAAATTTTTTTTTAAGTGGGGGGTGGGGAGGGAACAGTGGGAGAGGGAAAAAGAAAATCTTAAGCAGGTTCCACACTCAGCAAGGAGCCGGACTCAGGGCTCAATCCCATCACCCTGAGATCATGACCTGAGTGGAAACCAAGAGTTGGATGCTTAACCGACTGAGCCACCCAGGTGCCCCTAATGCTTTACAAATGCTATCATATGTCCTCATCACATTTTGGCAAAATTTAAAAACAACCTTTGAGAAATAAAGCCGAGTGAAAAATACCGATAATTGATGGCCTTACAATATTTAAGAAATATTCCCAATTTTCAAAAATAGCTAAGAAATTATAGACTCATAATTGCGTCAAGATAACGCAATAAGGTCTTTCATTAAATTTGACACTGCCAAATTCATGGCTCTTTACAAGCTTTACAACTGGGCAACATCCAAAAGCAGGAGAAGACAGCATTAGCCATACAGAAAATCTTCCAACTGCCACTCTTAAGCAGCCATTCTCTTTGATGTGCACTGTGCAGGCTATCCCCAATCTGGCCTCCTATTAACAAGGAGAAGATAGTAAGAGAGACCTTAGCAATTCAAAACTACTTTACTGTCACACTCAGGCCAGTTTAAGATCTTAATAGCAGTTCATTAAGATCCTACAATCGAATTTGAAAAATTCCATAGCTCATCCCTGGGAACAAATGAAATGAAAACAGAACTCTTTTGGTGGTAGTTTTGCTATACTATGATAAGCCCTTCAGAAAGAGTAAATTTTAATTCAATACCACAGCTATAAAAACACACCACTGTTTAACTGGCAGTCAAGCAGAAAAGCAGAACACCCATAATAGGTATTTTGTGATGGTTGCATCCCTCAGTGGTTCACTAACATCTTGCAGACAAGCATGGCACTTGTGCCTTGTACACAGAATACATGACTGACCTTTCGTCAGGAATATACAATGTATATTTTCATTTAATCTTACTGAAAGCAACAAAAAAGAGCAATAGAATAGTAGTGAGAATACAGTATTGCCATAAAACCTGTGTGGGTGGTGGATAAACAGGGGGTGAAGAAAATAAGCTCCTAATACATTTTAATCTGCAGTTAGGATAATGAGAATGAGTCCATGGGAAGTGTACTGCAAATGCTGAGCATCTTCTAATGGCTGCCACGTCTTCAAAAGAGCATCACCTGTCCCCTTTAAAGCACTAACTGGTCAGCTCTTAAATACATGGGGCTTGGACGAAACTGATGATAGGTCAGTATGTGTGTTCTGTTAATTCAGGAGTCTGACATGGGGAGATGGACTACACTGTGGTGTCAAGAAAGGATAACAAGTAGATGGGAAAATTCTACATTAAAGGAAGGGTGGCAGGGTGGACTAACATGTGCTCCAGCCTAGAAGGATGAGGACAGGTATAAATGATGCCAGATATAATGGAAGATTCTAAACATCTAAAACTGATACAGAATCGGCCTTCCTACTGTAACTGACAGAGAAACTAGGCCTAGTTTTTGGCTTCAAGTAATTATATACTATTAAAACTCACAGAACCCTGAGTACTCGTCTTCCCTAAGCTTTCCTGGAGCCAACTATCACTGAAAATAACACAGTTCCCCATAGGATAAATAACACTTAACATGGTACAAAACTCTTTCAAATCTTTAATTAAAAGACCAAAGATCTAATCCTAAAGGTCTTTGGCTCTGAAATTCTGGCAGAGTCACTTAATCTGTCTGGCTCTCTGCTTCCTTGGTAAATAATGGCTGACAATTTTGATGAATATGCTAATTAATATTTCATAATCACCATCTCCAATGGTCCTAAATATTTTATAAGCATAAACTCACTGAACCCTCACTATGAGATATACTATTATTACCCCTTTTTATAGCAGATGAAACTAACGCACAGAGAGGCTAAGTACCTTGCCCCCCATCCAAAAGTTAAGACATCAACTGGCCTGCCATATCCAGGCCAGGCCTAGGATGCAATGACTTGTGCAAACTAAGTGTAAAGAGTGAAGGTGAAAGTCTTCCTATACCTCCTGTCAATGAAACAGGTCATCAACAATCAGCAAACAAACAGAAGTTTGTTTATAAACAAAAGCCTTTTCAAAATCCTTTTAGGATTACTGGCTCAAGACTAGGCCTAGTTTCACAAAAACAATAACGCAACATCTCTTCACAAAAAGGAGGGTTCCCCTGAGACCAGTATCAAGTGCTGTAATGTTTTCCTCTGCCAATTATAGATTCTCTTCCACGGAAGTACATCCTGACTTAAAATCTGCTGTGACATTAAGATCACCTCTAGGCAGGAGGTGCTAGAACATTAAATTTTATTTGAATATATTTTAAATGTTTTGTGAATCACAGAAAGGAGCTATTGTTTGGTGTCAGCATCAAGTATGAGGCAGTACTCCTTAAGTATCAGCGTATATCAGGGTAACTTGTAAAAGGGGAACAACTTATTATGAATTTGCTGTGTTTGAACTACACGTCCTACAAGAAATTTAGAAACCAGCTAGGATAAATGCCCTTTGAGAGGTTTCTGAGGAAGAGAACCCTTACCTTTATGCATCTTTGCATCCTGTACTACTGTGCACTGCATGAAACCTGTATCTAAGCATTTCCTGGAGATGTTTTCACAATGGTAAAGTGTTATAATCAAAAGAATGAAGGTGGCAAAACAAGCAGATTCCAAACTGAATTTAGTACAGAAATAAAACTCTAATAATGCAACAATTAAGTACTGGTCCTTCTCAAAAATAAAAATATGCTCTTGCTGTCGGCAGATCTTCCACTTTCAAAAAGAAAAACAACAACAACAACAGCAACAAAAAACCACCAGGAAATTTCAGCCTCTCTAATCCTAAACAGCTGAATCATTCACATATTCAAGCTCTGCTTTTTGGGAGGTCCGAATTTAAGACCTTCCCTAGGAGAACATGGAAGAATTACAGAAAATTAACGGGATTCCCCAAAGACGCCGACTTAGACAGGAACTGCGTTATCCTTAATCAAACAGGAGGCACTGGCAAACCCATCAATCTCTGGTGAAGTAAAAAGACTTTGCTGAGAAAACGTATTCGTTCTCCAACGAACATTTATTAAACGTCCACTCGGCGCAAGGCAAACGGGCACACGATCTCTGGAATGGGGGCGCCGCGGCAGTCTGCTCCTCCCGGGGACCCACCTGCCCAGCCAGATGCGCCCAGATGCACCAGCCAGGCGCCGGGGCGGGGGGTCCCTGGACCCGCCCCTCCGGCTCCTCCTGGGCTCGCCTCCCACTAACACGGGTCTCCGAGGGACGCGGCTTCAACCGTGGCGAAATGAACAAATCTATCCCGCCGTGGCGGCGACTGGACCCCTCCAGGCGAGGCGTGGGACCCCCCCGCCGAACCAACGCGTGGATAACGCCGGGGCGGAGGTGGCGTGGGGGCTCGGGGGACTTCAGGGGATGTCTGGAAGGTGTGTGGGAGCTGAGGGACCCCGAGAGATCCTGGAGGTTCCAGGGGACGTACGAGGGTGAGGTCTGGGGGCGCGCGGGGGTCCTGAGAGCCCCTGTGGCGTTCTTGGTAGGGTGTCTCTGGGAGGATCTAAGGCTTAGGAGCTCTCTGGAAGATGCAGGGGAAATGAGGGCCCACGGGCGTCTCAGGGGAGAGAGGGGATTCAACTGGACGCGCGTGGGGGCGGCTGGCTGAGGAAGGAGCCCGCGACGGAGACCCCCCTCAGGGCACTCGCGGTCTGGAGCTCACCCAAAGAGCCCTCGGAGGAAGGAGTGGGAAGCCTTGACTCGCTTCTCGGCCTCCGCCATCAGCTGCACCGCCTCTCGCTCCTTCCCCGCGTTGTCCATGTCGCCCGCTGTCGCTGCCACAATCTCCTCACCCGGCTCCGACGCGCCTTCCACGCCTTCGCCCTTCTCTCCCAGAGATGGGGAGGGCAGGCGTGGTGCGCAAGGCCTTTCGGGACTTGTAGTGCCGGGTCGGGCCCTGGCGCCGGAGATGGGTGAGGTGTCAACTACAATTCCCAGAAGGCCGCAGAGCCAGGCGGGGTGGGGATCGGAGCTTGCAGACTGCCAGCGCCCGGGATTTCGGGGCGAGGGGCGTGGCTCTCCGTAGGGTTCTTAGTCCAAGGTGAACTTTAATCATTTAGTATGCGGGGAAATGGAAGATGACGCGTGGCTTTCTAGTTAGGGTAACCTCAAACACGCCGCATGACGTTGGTTCAGGAATCCCTTGCTCACCACGACTGACACCTGGCAATGGGATAGATGAGGAAACGGTGGATAACAGATTGGAACGTTCAACCTACGTGCAAGTTCTGCAAAAGGGAATCTAACGAAGCCACTGAAAGCAATTTCATTAACCATGTGATGCCCATCCACCCACCCACCCACCAGCAACAGCTGGGAGAAAGAGCCATTTTTATCTCCAGAGCAAGGCATTTAAGAATGCATCATTTTCCCCAATATAAATTGAGTTATTTTTCAGTTTCTCCGTATTACAACTTAATGTCGGTTCTCTCTTTCTTGGTTATAAATAAGTTGCATTTATGCTATATATGCATAATCCACTCTTCTAATTGAATTATTTTCCATGGATGGAAAGCTTTGAGCTCTCTTATCCTTTACGTGGTGCTGGCCGTAGAGGGTGAGTCTCCTGGGGCACAGGCCTGCCTGGAGGACTTCTAATTCCCTAGCAGAAGAATCCATAGATAGATGCTATCATGTGCCAACAATTTCCAGGCCTGTCCTGGAGGGGGTGGCTTTTTTTCTTTGTTTTGTTTTTTTTTGTTTGTTTTGTTTTTGTTTTATACAAAATCTAGACCATTTGCATATGGCAATGCTAAAGCAGAGGTGGTGAAGCAAATATGAAAATTACTGCCAAATGAGAATGTGTGACAATGTCAAACTATTAGTAAATACACTGTGGGCACTGGCACATGAAATATGTCTAAGAAAATGAAGCCTATCTTTAGAGAGCAAGGCAACGAAGGCCAAACTCCTAGAAAGGTAACTAAAGCATATGTCGCAGAGTTCAAACATTGAAGGAACTCTAGAGATGGAAGTATCAGATCTTCAGGCAGAATTTATTTACTATTACTACATGCAATACTCTAACTTCGAAAACCTAATTTGTGTTCTTTTGAAGCAGTATTGGAGAATAAGGAGGCAGGAAATTAGAGGTGTCAGTAAATGTCAGATTAAAGAGGAAAAACTGCAAAATTGGACATAAGCATTTGAAAAGCAGAGCAGTCCATGGGAATTTCATGGAGTGGAGCCAACTCAAAAGCTCCTAAGTGCAGCATCATTATATTGATTAAAGCAGCTCCCAAAGCTGGCCCAAAGTAACGGATGTTCAAGAAATACTGATTCCTAAGCCGCTAGCTGTTTATATCAGGATCTCCTGAGGTTGGAGTCTAGGAAATGTATATTTTAATAAGAACTCTCTGCGCTATTGTAAAGCATACAATTCTAGATTCTCAAATCTGTGGTCAGCTCAAAAGGAGGTAGAATGGACTTCCTCCTCCAAGCCAGAACATGCAGCTAGGGGTGGCAGGGTACATCTTGACATTTTTAATGTTTCTGGGTATTTCCTTCATTCTCTTCTTTCTGACAGGCACTCCCATCCTTCCCCAGTCCACACCCAAGTAGGGAAAAAACTTTAAACTGTAATTGTTGTGTAGAGCACTTGTTTTCTTCTTCCAGAGGCTAGATAAAGGGAGGTGGCAGGGCAGAGAGAAAAACCTCAAAGAATGAGGATAACTGAAAGACAGATGAGGACTCCTCCAAGCAGGAGGGAAAAGGAGACCTGCTCTGCTGTGGGCCAGGGAAAGAGTGAAGCCCTCAAGTAGAAGCTGTCCTAGAGTAGGTCCAAAGGACCCATGACGTACACCTGTGCTGACCAGGATGGTGGCCACTCACTGAAAGAGGCCATTTAAATTTAAATCAAATAATATGAAATCAAATGTAAAATTTTGTTCCTCAGTCACACTAGCCACATTTTAACTGCTCAATTGCCACATGTACCTAGTGGCTGTCATATTGGAATGCACAAATACAGAACATTTCTATTTATGGCACAAAGTTGACAATGCTGGCCTAGACATATCTTGCCTTTCAGCCTCTCTGGACAGTTGGAAGAAAAGACTTCAGACAGCTTCTGAGAAGATGGGGAAAGAAAGGAGGAGCCTGCACCCTTTACCAGGCAGAACCAAGCAGAACCTGCAGGCCTTTCCCTATGATCAGGGCAGACTCACAGGCATTCAGACTGAATGAACACACAGGAAGTTAAATTGGAATGTCGAGTGTCCAACTGTTCACACTGAGAGTTGCTCTGCAAAGGCAAGACTGAAGCCATTTGAGAATAGCCTGCTGTAAGAGAGGCAGGATCAGAAAATGATCTGTGTGAAAAACAAGGTATGGCCCTTTGCATGTGTTCACAGAAGGCGGTGCAGCATGGGAAGAGTCCTGTGTGGAGACCAGCACCAAGGGAAGGTGCAGTGGGCACAAATGCATTGCACCTCCAGGATTGTCCGGACTGGGATCTGGAGTGGCAGTGCAGGGGCCCAGTGCACTGGGTGAGTATCTCCCATGCCACTGAGTGCAGTTGGCTCCACTACCCCTGCCTGCCCTGCAGCTGAGCAGCAGCTACCAGGTCCTGCATTCACTTAGTGTCACCCACCCCCCTCCCTCTGATTCCAAAGTCTGTAGGAAACTTCTGGCCATGTCTAGCCTGGGGGTCCCAACTGCCAGCACCTGCAATTCTCCTGAGGGTTCTCTTTGGCCTTCCAGCCTGTTCTGCTGGAATGCCAAAGAAGTGGGGAGGATTAATTAACTACATTAACAAGGAAATCAATGCCTCTTGGCCTCCTATGAGCAGCCCTCAATCAATGAATGTTGGCAAATTGGAAGATAAGTACCCTTCTGGTGGGACAACTTTGAGCAATGTTTTACACTCACTCATAGGGGTCCCCAGTGGCAGTGAGCTCCGAGCTACTCACAGTAGAACGTTCCTTGTTCTGTACTCTTTACTGACTTTCTTCCCTTGCCTTTCCCCACACTCCTACTGGCGCTGCCTTCTGGTGTTACTGCCTAAGAAATTGCTTTCACTAGAATCCTTGTCTCAAGGTCTGCTTCTGGGAGAACACAAACTAAGACAGGGACCATATGCACTGAGGACTGATAGGTGTGTTCTGGTACCCAGACACAGTCATGGTGTTCATTACAAATTCATAAATCGGTGTTGCCATCTGTGGATAACTGTATACTTGGGGTTCTGGTTGTCACTTCAAACTTAGGGGTGAAAAGCTATAGTAGTTGTTTATTATTTAGTATCATTTGTGGTTCTGGAGCCCGACTGGGCTCAGATGGGTGGTTCTCACTTGGGGGTCTCTCAGTTAGGTGGTAGCTGGAGCTGGGGTCATTTTCAGGGCTTTCTACTCATGCCTGCTGCCTGAGATGGGAAGACTCGAAAGGCCAGAACAGCCAAGGCTCCTGGTATCTCTCTCTGAATGTTTACATGGTGGCCAGGGTTCCAAAGGTGCTAGGGGGATGGGAGCCAGGCAGCTGCTGAATCACCTTTACAACTTAAGGTCTCAAGTTCTGAGGCATCATTTCTGTTTCCCTGAAGCAAATTGCTCAGGCTCACCTGTATTCAAGGGGAGGGTCTCAAAGGATTTGCAGAGGTGTTAAACCCACCAGAGTTATATTCAAGGGAGCCTGGTTGCACTGACAAAACTGTGAAGCTGGAGCTCCCAGGCTGCGGAGCAACCCCTCACCTCCAAGGGCCTTGGAACCCCGGGAGGGTCTGCCCCATCTTTGGCTGCCTCCTCCACTGATGTCTCAGCCTCAGTAACCTAAGAGTGGCTCAGAGGTGTCGGGAGGGACAAGGCCAGGGCTGCTCCAGTGTGGTCCCCTTTCGAAAGCAGGGAAGAAAAGAATTCATTCCAGAAGCCTCTTCATCCAAAAGCATCAAAATAATGAATTAATGAAAATAAACGTTCTCTATTCATGTTGATGAGGCTGGGCTTCTGCACTTTGTGTAGCTTTGAGGCTAGAATTTAATTATTCTATTCATGGTGATTCTTTTCATTTTCCTTATGGACTCGCAAAACCCGAGAGCAATTGAATGGGGAACTCCAGAGGGATAATTAAATAAGTGGTTTTTATTATATATTTTTTTAACTTTCAAATCAATAGTAGTTTGTGTATGTGTGTATGTGTTTGAGACATTTCATGCTGTGTTGAAATTACTACAACTATTCTTGAAGACAGCTCTGTTAATATTATTTACCATTTTCTTAAGAAATTGTTCTGTAAAATTTAGACCAAAACATTAGAAAAAGCAAAATTAAATGTACAAAATATCTGTTAGAGGAAACATAGAAAATGGTAAATTAAGTTCAAGAAAATACTTGTGAAAAAGTAATATTATGTCAGTAATTAATGTTATTCTTTTCATTAACTGATATGAAATTCCACCACACAGTTTGAAATTAACTGGATACTTTTAAAAATGGCAAATAGACATAAAAACCAAGATGACCCAACTTTTATTTATATAATGATATATTCTAAGACTTTTCTTCTCAATAGTTAATATAGTTCTAGCCAGAATTATAGTTCTAAGCTGTAGGCACAATGGCTTACAGAGAAAAATGGGTTTATTTCCTGGACTGTTTTGATTTCCTTTCACATTATTATTTTAATTTAATTGATCTAAATTTCTTTAATTAAAAGAAATTTTAGGAAAAATTCACCCATTTCTACTCATTTTTTATCTATATGTTTCTAAGGATACATAAGCATTTTCTAGATTGCTACTAGTCTTTGCAGTTAATTAATGGGTAATAGTTCATTGCACCAAATCTTATATAACCCTTTCCAATTGTGGCATGTTTGAGTTTCATCCTATTTG